ATTTAGTGTAGTATTATTTTTTTTTTTAAATCAATATAACATTGGTTTAAAACAATTAATTTAATTTTGGTTGTAACGCGTCATTTGATTGGATAAAAAAAAAAAAAAGAATATATCGTATAACCTGGGTTGGCTACGTCACAATGACTTACGTCAAAAACGTATCAATCCGCTTGACGTTGCATTTATGCCCTGTTCACACGGAGAGTTTAATTCGAATTAAACGTAAGTTACTGCGAATTAAATTTGATCCGCGTTCACACGGAGAATTTAATGCGAATTAGTTTAATTCGAATTAGTTTACTGCGCATTAAATTACTTCGCATTAGCTCCGTGTGAACGCTGAGCGAAGCTAATTCGAATTAAATTTTGACGCATGCGTAAGGGCAGAATTAAGTCATATGCCACATGTCGGTGGTCAACTATAGGTATTTGTGCTATTTTTGATTGGAAAACAAAGGAAAATTATGTTAATCACTAAAAACTGTACAGACACTATGAAATTATGTCAAATGTATATCTGCTCTACATAAGGTGACGTGATTTGCAAATGACGTCATAATAGCCTTACTGAATAGCCTTAGGGTGAATTCACCATGCATCGGACACCCTCGCACTTCAACAAGTTCTAGCGATATCGCTACCGACCGAACATTAACAAAATGGAACTTAACATGTAGTATGTGTTTAAAATATAAATTTTTGACATAATCGTGCCCTATTTATTGAGAAAATATCATTAAAAACCGATATTTTCGAAATAAGTCAGAATTCACCATGGTTCGGGCAATATCAATCTAATTAAAATTAGATCTTCCATTCGCTCCCCGATTTTTTATATGTCGCGAGGAAGCTTCCTCGCGACATATAAAAAATCGGGGAGCGAATGGAAGATGTAATGTTAATTAGATTGGGACAATATTCACCATGCATCGGACATATGATATTTAAACCAAAAAAAAAATTTCATACCTTGATATCGGTGCTTTAAAATTAGTGATATCGAAACATTTTTATCTTTTATTTAAAAATTAACCTTGTAATAAAATTTGAATGACTATTTCGATCCACAAATGTGAAGAGATTTTTTTGCATCACATCGCCTTAGAAAGGCTTTACAATGCTATAGTAATAAGCCAACTCGCGCCTTTGTCTCGTGTGTTATCATCATCTAGTTTAAAGAAATAATTTGAGTCCACTTCTAGTCGTCATATATCGATAACTTGTATTTTCACTGAAAATTTAGAGTTTCTATTTTCTATTTCCGTAAAAAAACAGCTGTCATTTGGGTTTTACATGAAAATGGAAGTGATTACCCATGCATCGGAAAGTGTCCGATGCATGGTTAATTTGTGTCCGATGTACGGTGAAATAAACATACTAGTTAAAAACAACTCCAAAAAATATTATAGAAACATTGAAGTAATTTTTTTTAAAAAATTTCTGTAAAATCTTATCAGTCATTGGCAAATTTTACCAAGGTCCGACCCGTTCCGTTGACGTCTATTTAAAAGAACATTAACTCTAAAAATTGCAAAATCGTATAATTCTGGTTACTCCCCTTTGATGATGTAAAATATGACGTAATTTCAAGGCCATTCTTGTGGTATTTTTATCACAACATGAAAATAAAAATCGGCATCATTAAAAAGTTAAATTCTTCACCTTTAAGACAGAAACAAGTAAAAACACGAGGAGACTCAGGTTCAATGACAGTTTATTGCTTAAAGTTGTCCGAAGCAAGGTATGTGTCCGATGCATGGTTAACTCACCCTATAGTAGAAATAAAATTTTAATTCGCATTAGTTTACTTCGCATTAATTAGCTGTCGTGTGAACGCAATGTAATTCGCATTAGTTTAATTCGCATCATTTTACTTCGCATTAATTTACTGCAAATTAAACTCTCCGTGTGAACAGGGCATTAAAATACGTACAATTTGAAAGCATTTTTGAAGGAGAAATTGTCTTATTTTTTTTACACTTAATGATGAAAAATTAAATTATAAGGAATGAATTTAATAGCTACCCAAGTTATACTGGTATAACCTGGGTTGGAACAGTTTACGTTTTTTATAAACCGCTTCGCGGAATTGGATCGCCCTAGAATTGATGTGATTCGTCTTTGATTTATTCTTACAAAGCAAATTTATACTGGATGATTCTAAAATATTTAAACAATAATGTCTATTTTCATCTAGACTTCAAGGCGGTTTTAATTGTCCAGGCTGTATGCTTTCTGACTAGATGTCAATAATGAAAAGAAATTCTTATTGATATTTATTAATTAAAGAAGGAAATACTCTGTGTATTTGACTTGCCAAATTAGATACACACTATAACCAGCTGTTTTTCTTCAATTTATAATTTCGGTATTCGAAATGATTAATAATGAAAAATAGCATTGACTCAATCCAATATCTTTTTTTCTTTAAAAAAAATGTATGTATGTGAAACAAAAGTGTTATTTTCACCCCCCCCCCCTCCGAAAAAAAGATTTTCCTAGTATATGCGCTAATCATTGATAGAAAAAGGGATAAGTAAATTCAATTTTGTAATTAATAAGCTTACTGTGATAAAATTGGGTGGTCCAAGCAGACAATAATTTTCAATTCGGTAACCGTTTTTAAATCAATATTTCAATCATTCTAACTGAGAACTGAATCTCAGAGTATATAACTGTTACGACACTTTTTTTTAAACCGTGGATTATTTGAATTCTGCATCATCAAAATGTTTAAATTTTGACTTCATTCCAAGATTTTACAAGATATATTGACTGATTCATAATTTTGGGCTTTACGCTTAATCGGCAGTATTTCATGTGAATAATGTCTAAATATTAATTTCTATGCTGTCCCTATTCAGAGACTTATGATAAATATACTATAAACGAATTTCCTTCTTCCTTAAATATTTAAAATGTATTAATTAGGTTTAACAATAATAAAACCCTCACAAATCCATGCTTATAAAAGAAAATGATGCTATATTGAAAGTACACAAACATAATTATACAAACATGATACCGGTATTAACAACTACATGTACTTTGTAAATTGACAAATTAACGGTAATGTTCACATTAACTTGTTAGGTTCAAATAATAATCCATGTAAGCGAGGGTTCCTATCTTCCAATAAAAATATGCCGGACTCCCCAGAGAACAAAGGATTTGTACTTTATGTGATCTTATTAAGATTGGGGATGAATTTCATTATGTTTTTGAATGCACACAAAAAGAAATTAAAGAGGCAAGATTAAAATATATTTCAAATTATTTCATATACAGACCAAATATAGAAAAATTTTAACAACTTTTTTTCAACAACAAACTGTTCAATATTAAAAAAAAAAATATGTAAATTTTTGATGATTGTCAAACAAATCATAGATGGAAATAATTGATTTGAATCTTAAGATGATATTTTGTACTGTTTATTATACATGTATTATATATTACTTATCTATGTGTTGTATCTTTTCCTACCTCCTCTCTACAATGTATCTTTGCACATTTATGAGAATAAAATCATTGTCATTGTCATTGCCGGCCTATCAAAGAAATGTCCACTAGTCTGGATCAATTAAAATTTAATTAAATTAATAGATCTATGGATTTTTAGGAATTTTTCTCTTCATAAATCCATGTTTTCTTTTGAAAATAAAAAAAAACACGAAGGATTTATGTTATCATCAATGAATTCAATGATGAATAATTCGATAATATTTTAGCCCATTTTCAAAGCCCAAACGCTGATCAAAGAAGAATTTCTTAAATCTTTAAGGGGTTCATTTTCAATACCATCGTGTAAACACTTTGTTTGCAAGATATCTTAGATACATGTATATGTAGCAATTGGCACCGGGGACATGAAAAGGAAGAACATGAATTTCTCTAAAGAAAAAATCCCAAAAATTCAAAGTTACCACATAAAACATATCTTAGGAGTAAAGCAAGCTTCATTCCCTATCATTGAAGGGATATGGATGGATTGAGTATTTTTATACTATACTTAGAATTAACTGAGTTTTGTAGAATGCTTGTTAATTACGTGTTTTTGTATACTTCCAACATAAATGAACAAGAAAACATTGATGTAACAATCATTTGTCGCCCGGGAAATAAATAAAGTAAACAATGGAAATGAGTCTTGATCATCAAACCGCTTCGATATGTGTGAAAAAGGCATGCGTCTAAATGATGGAGACGATAGTCGAGAATATTTTGAAAACTTATAGTCGGATGAAAATCGAACAAAAACGATACCCTTTTAAACTTTATCAATTCCTCAAGTAAATGTTGGCTGCATAAAATATAATTTGAAACCAGACACATGCATCACCTATTTTCAAAAATGTCTTTCACCTTAAGAATATAAAACACGAACTGTGTAAAGTACGCTTTTATGCGATAAGTGAAATTCGATGTTCTAAAAAAAGGGACCTGTCGTTTTTTCGATAGTAAATGATAAGCAACTTTATATATTAAATATGAAAAACATATATATTTTTACAGATTCACTTTATGGAAGTAAATATATTGTGTATCTCGTAATTTATAAAGGGAAAGAACATTCTGATTAACAATCTTTTTAATGTTTAGAAAACCTTTAATTCTGAATAACTTCTCCCACCTCAATCCCCATATACCAACACTTAAACTTATATGTATAGAGCAGCCCGGTCCTCCGGACTGCAATAATAAGAATAATAATAGTGAAAAATTATTTGTGACCTAATGTCGTCTGAAGAGAATTGAAACATAAATGTATATCATGTATATGAAGAAAGTATTATTTTTTTTTACAAAATAGCTGAAATATAGTCATTCCATGATATTCAACCAGATTTATTTTAATCAAAATATAAATAAGTGACTTATACTATATATATATATATATATATATATATATATATATATATATATATATATATATATATATATATATATATATATATATATATATATATATATATATATATATATAAACAGTGCTTTTTGTTAAAGAAACTGAAAAGAAAAAAGAATAGAAAACGTTTCCATTACACAATTATATTAGAAACAATCTATAAATGACCCTTGAACTGAGCGTATATGTGACCATAATTGTTTTCTTACACTTTCCGCCACGATTTCCTTTTATCAACAGAATTATAAATCTACAACGTATGCTCAAAATATTACGTAAATTCGGCATATGAATTTGTAAGGATAAGTGCCTGATGACGTCTCCTGTAACTTGGTGCCAGTATCTGTACGGAGATAATTTCCACTGCTATCTGGCTCACCGGGTACCCATCGAAAGTAGGTGATCGTTTGGCCATCATCGTCCACGAAATTAGAACCACTGGAGCGTGTTCCCTGAAGGTATATCGCTCCTGTGTTGTAGCTGTCTGTAACGTACATGAATTGTGAGGTGGTTAAAATTAAATTCATGAATTGTGCTGTGATATTTTGAGGTGTCTCGAATTGTTTGACATGATTGATTTGACAAAGGAATTTCCCACCACTCAAATAAAAAAAATTATTTATTCCCACTCATGGATATCATTTCATAACTCCTTCCAAATGCTAAATGTAATTGATGTCAAAGTTACAGTAGGTGTCATTGACTTAAATCACTATGAAATTCTCTTATTGATAAGCCTTTGAAGCATAATGCCTGTTTTTCATCTTTGAATGTTAAAAAACAAGGAAAAAGCAAATACCTATGATATTTACAGCAAAGCTGTAAATGGAGTCGGAATTGATAAGTAACAGTCGGCTATTGGGGTGGTCTGACAGACATTGAGATGTAGCGTCAGAATGAATTCGTGCACTACTGTGGAGTTTGAAACAAATGGACATCGAAGATTCCCATGTATAACCGAGCTCGTTACAGGAAATCGTCTCTAGAACAAACATTTAAAATATATGTTTCAAACATTAATATCAAAGATAATGTTTATACGTTTGATACATGTACATTTCCTACTTCAAAAAATGGATTACTGCAGAATTTTTCTCCATAATATTATCCGATAGAAAGATGTATATACTTAAAAGTAACACAAAAACGTTATTCATGCAAAGAGACACTGGTTACCATCTCCAAAATATATAACTCTTCATGGTTAACAAAAGCTATTTTGATAAAGCCTGTTCAACAATCCATCATATAGGACAATTTGGTCATATTAATTAGTCCTTTTGAATAAAAACCCGTCAAAACATTTTCAAAGTTTAAAAGTTAGACCCGTCAAGGAAAAATGAAAGAAAAGATATGCATCTTAACAGAACTCGTAGGTTGGACATAAACAATATCTATGCCAAAAAATAAAATTAAGTACAAAACTCTAAGGGATAAATTTTTTGAAAAGGTAATTTATGCTAGAATTGAATTTTTACTTACTTGATATCTTTGAAGTAAACGATCGGGTTCCAGTTTTGAAGATCAAAGAAGGTGATGTAATCTCATAAACTACGGCGTGTCCTTGACAGATATACTCAGCTGTAAGAAACACTGAAATGCAGTCAGTTGTTGAAATGCATTTGTGGACGCATCGCACAGCAGAGCTATTTGTCTTATAAAATATTGCCGGATCAGTTGTAAGTTTTCCAGTCAGAATAGGTACTACTTTATAATTATAGATGTCCAGATTGGTGAAAATATTTCTCACTTGATATAACAAAATGATGATAGTTTTTGATAAAAAACGCATCCTCGATAAGATGAACTTGAAATCTGTGACGAACAGTTTTTAGAGATTGCTTGTGTCCAAGGTGTTACTTCTGCTAACAGCATTGATTTGATTTTCAAAAGAAAAGTAATCAATTTTTTTTATCGATGTTCCTTTTGATAAATAAAAAGCTAATGTAACATCTATGTTTTGAGCATTTAATTGTGTAAAAGTTTCATGGGTATTGGGTTTTAACGGTTTACATTCTATAGATTGACACAATTTTCTAAAACTTGATTGTTTGAAGAACAATCTTCACACAGAGATATGAAGCTTCTACTGCTAAATAAAATAACATAGGTAAAAAAAAACTTCCGCCAAAGAAAGAACATTAGATAAATATTATAGATGAAATTTGAAAATAACGAACGGTAATGAAGCTCATAAGTACATTGAAAAAATTCAAACTGAGAGCAGAGCAAAAACGGACCTCCAGAGGTGGGATCAGATACCATGGAGGATTCAGCATCTCCTGTCGAGCGGTCATACCGCCGTTTGCTCACTGTCATGATCGGATAAATGACAAAATCCGTAAACAATTCAGTGTGACAAAAATATCCTATCAACTTGTATGAAAACATCAGTCAACATCCGACTTTACAATAAATTGTAGATATACTAATAAGGTCTTGTATAGACCATAGAATTTGCGAAATGTTGACTTAAAACTATTGTTGATATCCTTGAATCATCAATTTATTGGTCAAAAGCTTGTCTTGTTTCAGAAATTGTTCGTACGGAGAACATCCTCCTGCATATCAAATCAACTGGGAGACAGAGACTTCAAATACAGGTGATAATGGTATATTGCTTCATAAATAAAGGAAGCTGACGATAGAAAAGCTAAAGTCATCACTTCATCCTAAAGTTTAGCTGTTCGTTTGCCGTTAATGTCTTTCTCCAGTAATTTATCCAAATATGATACAGATGTGTCGGATTCTGTGGGGTCTTTTATATTGAGTTCACAGGGAAATATTATTGAATCAACGAGGACACTCTTACACTTATTCAAATATACCTGTATATCTTTAATTGTTTGAAAAAGAAATTAAAAAAAAAATACTTTGCTTCTAATGAAATATGAAGGTAACAAGCAGTAATCACGTTCATAAGTCCATTGAACCAATATACATGTAATTGTCCAAAGCAAACACGAACCTCTAAAATATCAGAGATGGGACCATGTGCCATGGAGGAGTAAGAACAACCTGTCAACCGGTCACTCCCGCTGTGTGCTCCTTGTCATGATCGAGTAAACGGAAAAATTATTGTCAGTTCAGTATAAAAATAAAAATTTGATAATCTCAACAAGATTATCAAATAGGAATCTTGTTTTCGAATGGCAATGATATGTTTTTGAATAGGAATAACAAGTTTATTGCCTATAAATCACATAATTATCGAAATAAGAATGACAACATTATCGAATAGGAATGGCAAAACTATCGAAATAGAGTAACATTTTTTTCTTATATGAATAACATGTTATCAAATAGGAAACACATGTTTTCGGAAACGAATGATATATTTTGAATATCAATCAGATTTCTTCCAATAGCAATAACAACTTATCGAATAGGAATAACATTTTATCGAATAGTTAATATATATATATATATATATATATATATATATATATATATATATATATATATATATATATATATATATATATATATATATATATATATATATATATATATATATATATATAAATAAATAAATAAATATATATATATATATATATATATATATATATATATATATATATATATATATATATATATATATATATATATATATATATATATATATTAGAATAAGAATACTAAATTCTTTGAATAAGAATAACAAAAAGTATAATAATGCAATGTTTTACACGCCATAGACGAGCAATTATTATAATTATTTTGATTTAATGAATTTTTGTATTTCTGATCTTTTTTAATCATTGTAGCATTTCAAATTATTGGGGTTGTCAACGAGTTACCAGTTACTCGTCGGCGAGTACTTGTCTAAAGGCCCATGTCACAATTTGTGATATTCCCTCGCTGTAACCAAATCGTTGAAAAAGAACAAAGAGTACGTGCAAACAAGTTTATTATAGTGCTCCAAAAAATGCAAAGAATATCTGCACACCTGCACACACACAACAGGCACATCTACAACACTCGCACAAAAAAAAAACAAAAACAAAATAATAATAATAATAATAAAAAATAATAATAGTATCAATATACCGACTATAATAGAGTCAAACCAGACCCGACAAATGTTTCATTGCCATGTGCGAATAAAATCAAAATCGGAAACACTGACTGGCGAGACCACAGAGGTTGACCCAAGACGTTACCGTATACTGTTCATGGACACACAGTCGTTGGTTACTCATGGAATTACGGTTACGACACTGTCCAAAGGCCACACGTCCCTCTAGCCTTCAACGCCTTAGTACGTAGGATTTCCTCGAATGTCTCAGTATGCCATAATGTTCACCTGCTACTGTAAACACGCACATACACAGCTGATCACCTATAATAACACATTATTTAAAGGTCTGGGTTTCCATAGTCGGTAATAAACGCATTCATAAGGAATACTTGAATATGTCGGGTACATTATCTAGTACAAATAAAACTTAACTAAACAAAGTAATGAAATAATAACTTTTTCTTAAAAAAAAAAACAACAAAAAACCCCTTAGCTAACAAAATATACAGTTCAAACTCACCGCTGCCAAAGTTCTCAAAATTACTCTACTGTCCAGTCAGGAAAACTTCTCGAACACACAAACCATTCAGGCCAAATGCACGCAGCAATTTTTCTCGCGACCACACAGGTCATACAACATTTTTACTTAGGAAGGACACACCTTCTCACTTCTACGGCCTGCTCAGAACTAACTTACACGTAGACAAAATTGTTAAAACCGGTCTGACAGCCGTGACCAGCTATCCGTAACGACTATACGATGATAATGAACCTATGGTACACCATAACCAACATAATCAAATTAAGCAAAATTGTGACAGTCCAAGTATCGAATGCTACACTTAACATTGAAGGACTTATAAAAAATAAAATTATACAATATTTCGTCATTTTTAGAAAATCTTCGAGGAAATCCTACTTTCCGAGGTAATCGTACAGTTAACCCAATTGCTTAGCGTGGATTTAAGTCCCTGTCAATTTTTGACAACTTAATCATTATCGCCTCAGTCAGTGGCAGTGCATTGTTTTGTATACAGGCAGGGACACGCCTTGTTTGAAATCAGAGTTAAAACTTGTTCATTGAAATATAGCATATTCTCTTTTATAAGTTAAGAGCTAGCAAGAATGTTTTATCTTCTAAAATCGGAATATTTTTAAATGAACCGGTAATTCTTAATCTATAAAATGTCAGCCATGTGAAGCTGAATTAAGTCACACGGATGGGAGAAATAATACGTAAAATCATCAGGGTATCAGACATAGTAACATACTAGTGCAATCATAAATTAAAATTCTAGGTTTTGGAAACGATATGTTTTAGTTTTATCATGTATCCTTGTTTACGTGAAAAAGCGGACAAGAAGCAGCTTGAAAGGCGCTAAAAGGTATCGCTATGGTAAGTACGCTTACAGTATTTTTGTTTTTACTTAATTCAATAATTAACACTCAAATATCCACGTAAGCCCATTCTTGGATCTGAACTCTGAACACAGGGATCATGACATAGAAAAAAAAACCCTTAAAAAGAGATCATTGCTCATTATAAACGTTAACATTTTACTTGCCACATGTGTACGAGTAGAAACTATCTTTGAAAATGGCATTTTTTTTAATGGTTTTGGCAAACCTTCCAGGGAGGGATGCAGTCACGAAATTCATATTTTTTTGTTTTTTCATTATTACTGGCATCTATCATGTCTATATAATTCATGTATGAATTAGATTGCTTTATCAAAGACAGTGCAATACTCAGTTATTTCGCTTTGTACAATGACGAGTACTCAAAGTACATATTAGTTATCTCCTTGTTTTACATTTGTGTGGAGGCACTACCTTTGCATCTTGCTAGTCATTGGAGCTTTCTGAATCATAATTGAAAAGTCAATGTAAAATTCCAAAGTGTTTTCCTTGTTAAACTCACCCTACCCCACCCCTTTATTTAACTACTTGTTCTGCGCCTGTGTAAATAATGCATTTCCAGTTTTGTTTGCCGTAAACAATTGATGCGTGATCTTTCGATTTTAATGAAAATGTACCAAAAGAATCTAAAACATCACACAATTTTTCCTTTTCAAATTGTTAGATTCTTTTGCTATATTTCCGAAAATACATGTATGTACACTGTTAAAATCAGTGACTTGAAAATAGATGCACTCAAATGCAACTTGATTACCGGTAGATAAACCCTCCCCCCTTCTCTCTCTGGGATATATAAGGGTAAACTAATTTTTAAAACACTTCTTAAAAACATTAATTCATTTTTAGAATCAAAATGGAAGTATTTCCTCATAGTGTAGATTAAAGTGGATTAATGTTGTCACTTAATCATAAAAACAAATCATTTTATTCGAAAGATTTAATGAGACCAATATATCGTCCACGTATCCTCATTTTACGTATACCTCAGGTGAGTATTTTAGTCCACAGGCCTTTTGATTTATAATTCTTAATCTTTTAACGAAAAAGAAAAATACAAGTATATATCTTTAAAAATCTAAAGCTTTTAAAGGGGTCATTATTCTAAAGAGGCCATTTCTTTTCAAGTAGGGTATGCAGATTTTAGGTTTGATGGCGCTTTTTCTACAGACAAAAAGGTCATTTTTCGACGTTGAATAATGATTAGGAGTCATTTTTCTACGTGGGAAAATGACCGGGAGTAATTTTTCGACATCCAAAATGCCCCCCCCCCCGTCATTATTTCACGGGGTCATTATTCGTCTTTACACAG